AAATTCATTCTCTTTCTTTTCTGTTTCTCTTGGTTTGCCTTTCTGCCTCTCTTTTTTTACATTTTCCCTCTCACATTAACACCTCCTTGCCTCTCTCTTGCCCTTGACTGCTTCCTGCTCCCCCATTTGTGAGGATTATGTAAATCAATTAATAAAATAACCAGTGACCCTGTACCCACTGCTTTCTGTTCCTTGTTATTTATTTCTCGCTCTCCTGTTCATTTCAGAGGGTTAAGTGGAGTGAATAATTGAATGGTGTGTTTTGGGTCGCATTGCTATGCTGCTCTTTCAGCAGCTTTGGTTACCAAAGAAAAGACTCTTGTTCAGTGTAGGCATATTTAAACCTGGAAAAAGTTACATGTTATATGCACAGGGGATATTTGTTTTTCGGATGTTTTCAGGGCAAACACAGGAAATATGACTTTTTCGTCTGCCGGGTGCGTCGGGAAGGGGCATAATTTTAGCTAAGGTCACGTAAAGTGTGGCTTTTCATTATGAACCATACTTAAGTAAACATATTTATGTATTTTAGGAGAAAATGTTAAATAATTCAAAGAGCACATATTAGCATGTGTCTTTTGTGCCACATTATACGGTTATTTTAGTCGGTGTATATTTTTTGGTTTGATGTTTTGAGGACAAGGAGACGTGGGATTTTGGTACCAAAATGCTAATACACAGGAAATGATAGCTGTATTACTTTATTTCACGCATTAGACCTCAGAGACCTCAGACATTACTAATTAGAATTAATATCCTATTTATTTAGATTTATTTATTTTTATACTACCTTTAATTGGACTGTCCAGTTTGCTTCCATACTGGTCTAGAGAGGCCTTTGCAGGATGTGCTCTTTTAGGTTTTTCTTTGAAAGCTACATATTCATTATATAAGACAAAGCAGTCAGTTTGAGGCAGTGTTAGGGACACTGCTTAATAAATACTTATTTAAAAACGTATTATTAAAATAATTAGAATGACACATTCCTCAAAGTACCACAGCAATAAAAATTATTTAGCATTAACAAACCACAGTGTACATGTTTAATGTTGATCAAAGGAGCTTGTAAAGAAAAGCGTCTGGACTTCTTTAAGTTGCTTGAAGACGTTTCACCTCTC